TATTATAAAATTTAATTTTATTATTATAAAATTTAATCAGTAGTAATAAATTCTGCCAATAAATCAACTAAATATCATAATCATACTTTTATAAGCTAACCAATAAGTCTAAACTAATAATTCTGTTCATATTTCGTAATAAACTCAATAACAACTTATAAATATTTAAATTTTAAACATTTCATACTATATAATGTTTTAAATTTCAATTATTATTTATATCTAATTTCACACTATCATTTAAATGAGATGAAATTACATATAAACAACACACAGTTTCTGTTTATTTTAACAATTAACAGGCAACAAAATTACATTAGTAATTATTAAAAATTAACTTTGTAAGGGAATTCATGCTAACTTTTACATTTCATGTATACAGAATTTTAAGTCAGCTGATGTTTGTTATTGTTTTTTAAGTTTTTGTGTATCACATCTTTATGTATATAGCATTTTTATGTATTGTCTTTTATGCTTTTTTACAAGTTATTTATTGTATGCTTGTTTTTCTTGTATTTTATCACTATTTTTTTGTTAAAAGTCCTGTTTATAAGGGGAGGAAATCTGCTGTCTTGTGACACTTCCTATTGTAGATGTGATAAATAAATAAATAAATTTGTGGAAAATACCAAATACAAAATTAGCAGCTACAAAATATCAACTTGGACAACCATTATCACAAGCTTGTAAATATATTAACGTACATATTGGGCAATCACAATAAATATGTGTAATTTAAAGCACACAGAACAATTTCAATTACGGTGAATAGGTTAGGTTAGGTTAGAACGTGGGTCCCCACTGTGCGGCCATCTTGGACTACCTAGGTAAACATTAACCTCAATTACTTATTGTTTGAAATTTACATCCATGCAACAATCAAAGTAATCAATTACAAAGAAATACCACAATTAATAAATTCTATAATTTCAATCCCCCAATGGAATTTCTTATAGGAAAACAAATAAACTAAAGGTAAAATAAACCTTGTAATTCTTCTTCTGTCAAAATTCCATCACTTAATTCTAATTTCTCGAATTCTAACGATTTCATCTTCGAACCGTCGGACATAGCTCGTTTACAGTGTTTAGTTCTCTTATCGAACAATAGGGGGATTGAAATGTTTACATCATACAGAATAATTTTACAAGCAAAAAAATGTTCGATATAATATCATAATTTTTATGAATTTATACGAAGGAATTATATTAATTTAATTAAAAATAAAAGGAAAAAAAACATATAGTAAAGAAATATAACCAGCGGGAGCGTGGAATGACGTGTGGAGCACGTGCTTAGGATGCCGAGATTAGTGTTGCCACCAGGCCGGTTTTTAAATTCATGGTCCGGATTAATTATTTATTTGTCCAGTTTTGGTAGAAATTGTGAAATTATGATAAAACAAAATAAATTTATAAAAATATTTGCGAGTATTTTATTTTAACGGTTAAATACTTTAACTTCACAACCCCACCCAAACTTATCCCCCATCTTATTTCTAGACTAAGGGTGACAGAAAATGTACTTGCAAATTCTAACTTGCAAATATCTCTGGCAAATATTAGGTCTGTTCCAACACAAGTTCATGGCTATAAAATGACATTGCGGACACCTCGTATGATTTCAAATTCAAACCTATTGTTCGGGTCAACAATTTTGAAAAGATGGCAACATTAGTCGAGATAAAAATTTTAAAATTGTTACATGAGTGAACTAATAAATTCATAGAAAACTCATGTATGACTATGAAGAATTATATTAATAAAATGTTCACCTAGTGCAAAATGTTCTAGCCACAGTCCTAATAACTAGAGCGGGGGTGCTATGTTGAGGCGCCTATTTTCTCTGCCATGTTACAGAAGGTTTTTGGTCATATTGTGTTTAAAATATCGACGAGTTGTGTGGCTTCGCCTCCAGTAACAAATTAAAGACTGCGGCTACATATTAAATAGATAAATTAATGTTCTATATGTTATTGACTTTATTGAGGAAAATAAAGTACTGTACTTTATCAGTGGCGTGCCGTCCTTGGAAACGGTGGAAGCGCCGCTTCCCTTGTATTTTCTAAAATATAAATACATATTGCGCGATTATTTTTATATTTTAACGTATTTTGAATTAATTAAAATTAATATTTTATTATGGTGGGCGCTTGTGACGTTCGTCAGTGTTGGTGAGTTATTGTGAGCTGTTTTTTTTCAAAGTATAGCGCTTTGGATATGTTTGTTTCTACAAAGAGTGTGATTCTTTACTTTGGTTTCACTAAAGTTTTTGATATATATTTATTATTACGTGTTTTATTAATAATTGGAGGTATTGAGTCTAACCCTGGACCGATGTCTCGCACTCCACCTTCCTCCCCTCTTTCAAAGTCGTCCATTTCTGCTGTTGGAAAACGTCAAAGATCTCCTAGTGAACCGACTCTGAAATCTCAGCGACTGGAATCTTTTTTTCCTCCTTTGACTCCTTCTCCAAATGTACCCCAAAATTTATTTTCTTTTTTAGAGGAAAAATTTGATACCATCTTGACTAAACTTGAAGATTTATCTACTAAATTTGAATGGCTGGCAAATTTGCATAAAGATTTTGAACAACGTCTCCTTAATGTAGAAAAAAAGGTAGAGGAAATTTCTAACTTAAATACCTCATATACTGCTTCGACCTCCTATTTTTTATATCTCTTAGATTCATCGATAAATGAACAGCAGAGAAATAATATTGTTATTGCTGGATTAGATGGAAACTCGTCTGAAGTTGTGTCTTTGGCTTCCGACATTTTGTCGTCTATTAAAAGACCTAGTGGTGATTCAATTCTGGTGAAAGATCTTAAAATAATTTCAAAAAATAATTTGGTGGTGGCAAAACTTGATACTGTCTCCGATAAAAAACTTATCTACCGGAATGTTCACAATATTCAGAAAAGGGAAGGATGTTCTAAGGTAAAGTTTTTTGATGATCTGCACTGGAGATCGAGGATTAGGAGGAAAAATCTTTTTCCTTTTTATCAAGAGGCTAAGAAGACCGGAAAAGATGCGTTTATGAGAGCTGATTGCCTAACAATTAATGGAGAAAACTTTACGTTTGATTTATTAAGTAATAAGCTGATGAAGATTGAACCTTTTTTATCACTAGGGAAATCGTCGGATCGTCGAATGGACGAGAATTAAAAAATTCAACTGTTATTCCTTATTCAGAGGGTTTCTATATGTTAAAGATATTATCATGGAACAGTCAGGGTTCATTGTTTGCTAACTTTTCTGACAAAAGTTTTGTTGATTTTATATTATCATATCATATTGTTGGCATAACTGAAACATGGATGATATTTTCGTTGAAAACCCTTCTTTCATCACTGGACTCTCAATTCTATTTCATTGAAATGTTAGCTCATAAACTTGAGGGACCTGGAAGACCATCTGGAGGTTTGTTTTTAGTGGTGTCTCGGAAACTTGGTGAGTTAGAAATTTGTCATCTCTCTGATAACTTTATTATAGCTAAACTTACATTTGATAAACATCTGTTTAGAGATCGTCCTGGGCTCTTAATTGTTCTGGTTTATATATCTATTCATAAATACGATTCATTGATTGAGTATCTTGATAGACTGATTCTGGATCTTAAAGATGTTGATGATATTTTGATTCTCGGTGATTCCAACGCTAGAATTGCTTCCGAATTAGATACACTATATTTAGGTTCTAATAGAAATTTTTATAATACTAGAAAATCTAAAGATAAGATTTTTAACTATAGAGGAAAAGGATTTTTGAACTTGATCAAATCTTATGGTATGATTTTATTGAATGGTCGATTCGTTACTGATTTCCCTGCTAATTTTACATTTATTTCCTCTTTGGGTGCATCAGTTATTGATTTGATAGCTACAAATCCTGAATTAGTTGATAACTTGGTCGACTTTAAAGTTTTGAATAAATTTGATTCTGATCATCTTCCTATTTCCATTGAGTTCAGGTTTGATTCTCTTCCTTTCAGCAATGAATTGCCTACTGAAATATGTCGTTATGTGTGGAGATCTTCATGTTTGGACAAGTATTTGTATAGTGTCACTCAGCGATATGCAGAAATTAAAGGCGGATTTTTTCTGGATTCTTTTTCTTTTTATTCGTCTTTTGTTGACGCGATTCTTGAGTCTGTAATTCAAAGTAATATGTATGTCAAATATGACTGCTCAAGAAAATTTGTAAAGTCTTGGTTTGATATTGATTGCCTACGATTGAAGAGAGAGAAGAATCGTGCTCTACGTTTATTTCGGCGATCAAGAAGTAAACAACAATTTATTATTTATTCTAATTTGGAAAAAACTTTTAAATCTCTCTGTAAAGCCAAAAAGAAACTATTTTGGAATAAGATTAATTTTCAATTATCATATATTAAAAACTCTGCTGAATTTTGGAAAATTGTTAATAAATTTAGAAACGGCAAAGTTGTGTATAATAACATTTCTATTTCTGATTGGTCGGTTTATTTGAAAACTTTTTTTTCTGGGCCATCTTTAGCTGTACTATCTATTTGTACTAATGATAATACGGATCCATTACTCGATGAAAATTTTTCATTTGATGAATTACAATTTGTAGTAAAATCTCTAAAAAATAACAAAGCCCCTGGATTAGATGCTGTAAAGGCTGAGATGATTAAATTCCTTCCGATTAATATTTTAAATGATTTGCTATCTTTATTTAATAATTTTAAAACTAATTACTCTTTTCCTATTACTTGGAAAAATGTTTGTTTAAAAATGATATATAAGAAGGGTAATCGGTTTGATCCTTTGAATTATCGTCCGATATCGTTAATTAGTGTAATTAGAAAAATTTTTTCTACGTTATTGGCTAATCGTTTGCGACTCTGGCTTGAGCGGTCTCATACTATTTCTATCGGTCAAGGTGCTTTTGTAGTGAATAGAGGTGTTGGCTATAATTTATTTATATTTCTTGGAATTTTGCAATTAATTTTGACTAAGAAGCGGAGGAAACTATACGTTGGATTTATTGATTTGTCAAAGGCGTTTGATGCAATAGACCATGATATTTTATGGTCGAAGCTTTCTCGGATAGGTATATCATCATCTTTTATTAATCTTATAAGACAATTGTTTTCGAACACCACTTATCAAATTGAAGTTAATCGTTGTTTTTCGGAGACGGTAACTGCTAATAAAGGTCTTCCACAGGGTGAACCACTTAGTCCTATTTTATTTAATTTATTTGTTAACGATCTTCCGGAATTTTTTTGTAATCATAACACTATGGGTATATCCATATCATCGGAGATAGAATTGAATTGTCTTTTGTTTGCTGATGATATTGTAATATTTTCGTATTCACCTATTGGTCTTCAGAAAAAACTTGATCTTCTACAAGACTACTGTAAATCTAATAAACTATTTATTAATGAGATTAAATCTAAAGTAATGGTTTTTCGGAGAGGAGGTAGACTGGGAAAGGCTGATAAATTCTATTTATCTAACTCTGAGTTGGAGATTGTTTCGTCCTATAAATATCTGGGTATTTATTTTACTCCACAGGGTTCATTTTCTTTTCACCTAGACAAACTGTTTTTGAAATATAAACTTCAGCTTTCTAATTTAATAAAGCTTATGGTAAGAATGAAACAGTCTTCCATTAAGTCGTATTACCGATTGTTTGATTCCTTGATACGTTCAAGTATAGGCTATATGTTCCCTATTTGGGGATCATCTTTCGTTGATAAATTGGAGAAGACGCAATTGAGATTTATTAGATCGATATTTCATATTAATCGTTCGGTGCCTGGACCTGTCTTAAGATTTGAACTGGGTCGTCCACCAATGGCTATACGTTTAACAATGATCATTTTTAGATATTGGAGTAAAATTTTGGAGTTACCAGACTATGATCCTAGAAAGTTGATCTATAACAAGTTGAAATTAATAGATGGAAATTCTTCGTTTAAAACTTGGTCCTCGTCAGTTGAAGGCTTATTGAATGATTTAGGTTACTCTACTGATTATTATGCTCAAATTTCTGATAAAAAACTTTTTCTGGCTGAAATGTCTCAGTCATTAAGGGATAAATATTGGACCCAAGACATTCATTATATTGAGCAAAAGTGTAGGTTTCTTGAGACTTC